ATTATTTTTCTAAATATAAAAAAACTCAACTAGGTGAAGGTTATTTATTTTATACTTATTTTTAAAATTTTTATTTGATGTTTGTCTACACATCTGCAAAATAGTAAGAGTTTTTCTTTAGTTTACGTCCTTGTTAAACTTTCTACGCTTATTAAATCTTCGTTTCGTACATTGATTGTAACCATTCCATTCCTTCGCCATTAATTTTTTACTCTCTAAGACAACTTTATGTCCAACGCTTGATTAAACTGCAGTAGTTGGCTACAGTAGCTAGAAATATTAAAAATGAAGTTGAGCAAATATATTACTTAAGTAATGCGTTCGATTACTCTACAGAAGGTGGCCACTTTATTTCATATAGATAAGTCGACTATGGTAAGAGTAGCCAGTTCCTGTAGCGAATAAATAAGTCTGTTCGATATTGTAATTTATGTACTTGAACATCCTCTCTGGGTTTTCTTAATTGTTTTCATATGAAATTGGTATGAACTTATAATTTATTGTGTTTATTAATATAAATATATAAATTTTTAAGTTTTTATGTTATATTTTTTTATTAATACTTTGTCACTTTTAGTAAATGATAGCCTTAACAAAACAAATGTTAATATATTATTATTTATTAAGAGCATTTGATTTTTTTTTTCATGCACAAGGATATTAAATTGCAGCTCATTAATCCTGAACTCATTTTTAAACAATAATTTGTTTGTTTTTTGAAATAAAAGGTTAAGCCACTTTAAAATGGTAGGTTAGTTTGTCCTAAACTGGATAATTCGCTATTTTAGGTATGCGTGTTTTTCTTTCTTTATGGAAGGTAAAACTTCGATGGACGTTGTGAGCAGAGATATATCAGGCTTATATTGAGAGATATAGTCATGTCTAGTTTAAAATTAAATAAACCATTTTTTACTATTGCCAGTTAATAAGATTGCCCATATATAATATATGATTAATAACTATCAATATATACAGTATCAAAAGATTAATTTAATTACTTGATTTGATTTTAAAATTATTAAACAATGATTAAAAACAAATTTATTAATGACAAACTGCAAAATAGATTTATTGAATATTTGAACTTTCCTCTATAAAATTTTTATTTATCAATATTCATTTCAATGCTTATCAATAGAATTTTACTATACTATATATAATAACTTGCCAATTATTCCAAATTAAAAGGCAAAATACTTTAAATGCGATAGTGTGTTTCGGAATTTTAGTTTTATTAATGAATACGATTTCATTCATGGAATTAAAAATTGGCATTTCCAATCCAATAGCCGTCTTCCATTAAAATATTGATAGTGCAAAATATTGATAGTAATTTTTCTTAGAAAATATAATTTAAAAAATTTTATTTTCTTATTATTAGTAATATATGTATACGAGTATGTGCATATACATTAATAATGGAATAAACTATATAAAATTTATCAATTTATTTCTAGGAATTATTGAGGGTTTTAATCGTCTTCACTTATTTAAAAACAACTTAATTTTAAGACAATACCCTTATTCTCTATTCCCTAATCAAAAGAAAGGAAGCTAGTGATAAGGAAATAATAATTGAGCTGATAAAAATGTATGCGTAAAGTTTTCTATACCAACTATTGATTAGATGTTTTTATATTTGAATTGTAGCAAAGAATTCTTCCATTTGAATAATATCTCTGCAATATTATAAACTGACTAATAGAGATTTTATAGGATATCGTTTCTAAAGCAGAAGAAAATTATAGTGTGAACTAAATCTGATAGAAATCTGATAGAGTTGAGTACACAGTTTACTTTGGTTTCAAAAACAAAACTCATAATACTGCTAACATTATTTAATTCCTTATTTTATTCTTTTTAACGTATCTGCATATCTAGATTATCGTTCAGATATGAACGTTTGTTTATTTTAATCTTATAGCATTGCTTTGGCAAGGTTAAGAGAATGAAATGAACTCGGGTAATACAGCGCATTTAGCTAAAAATACCAAAACATTAAAAACTACATTAAAGAAGCTCAAACCTCACTGCTAAAGTAGGACAAAAAATTAACTTTTCTAAAAGAAAACTATTAAAAACATAATAAAGTATTTTTTAATACTTAAGAATAGTACTAACTTCTATAGATATTATAGCCGCATTGTTACGAATAGAATCTTCTGAAAGCATCTAAGCTTTTAAAATCTCAAAATTATATTGAAAAATCATAACATTTGTATATAAAAAACTTCGATTTACCCAGTTCTGACATACGGATGCCTAATATAGGCTATTAAATCTTATTAAATACACAATCATTTTGTAGATGCGAGAAGCTACTTTTAAATATAAGCTACTTTTATAGTCAGTGTTACTGAACGAATCCGATAGAATCGTATAAAATATCAATATTAGTGATAAAATGTATTGTAGCTTATGCCAGTATGCCAGAAAGCATACGCTAGGAAAAGATAATGTAAGAGGTAGGCAACTTTATGTAAGATGTTGCATGTGATTGTAGAACTTTTTCATCAGTCCGGAAGTAAAATGCATAGCTCCATTAAGCACTGTTAAGCAAGAAGAAACAAAAAGTAGATTGCGGATTTATAAATATATGTTTTTAATATCATTGTTTAAAACAAAAAAACAAGTTGATAAAAACGATGAATTTCTAGCATTTGTAGAGCATTTCGTTTTTAGTATGTTTTTACACTATAATCGGGGTTTATTTTATTAACGATATATATTTTTATTTCTTAAAATAATAATGTAGTTTTATTGTTTAGAACAAAACTATAATCCATTTATTTCTCTTTTTAAAATTTACATGAAATAATCTAGAAATCTTAGTTGTAGTTAACCAGTTAATAAATAAATACTACACAGTAATACTGAGATGATGATTATGTTAGATTAAAATCTAACATAATCTAACATAATCATAGATTAAAATCTAACATAGTTCTATTTAAAATATTTTTTTTTATAATATACATATTATAAATTTATAGATGCATCTCGGTGCATTGGGTATTTTATATGTATATAGAATATTGATGGAAAAACAATAAACATTTTCATTAATTCGGAAAAGTTTATTTTTATGTCAGTCAAATATTTGTGCGCTCTATAAAATGTATTCCATATTTTGCAAACCGTTTTTATGGGCCAATTTTAAATTTTTACACTATTTTACACTATCAGACAGGCAGATATTCAATACCCTGTATGTAGAGTAAGTCATGTATAAAATACGAACAGATTTCAAAATTTATAGATGTGGAGCAATGTGTTCTCGGTATCTCTCGCGCGTGTAGTTACAATGTGTTTCCAACTACCCTCAAATCTGAATTTATCTTCGTAATTAAAACTGTGCAGTTGCATTCACAATGTGTATCAGTTGCATCATATTTACTTGTATTTATTGTGTTGCCGGTACCATGTACCCATAGTTGTTGTTGTGGACTTTGTGCTGTATTCACTGTATTCATACCGACGCAGCCCCCACACTTAAAGACCCCAGAACGTTGGCAATTTGTTTTGCATGCCGTTGATGCCAAATGATTTATTTGGCACAAATAAGCGTTCATCTTGTGACCGACGAAGTTCTAAACAAAAACAGCCGTGAAATGGGTAACAAAAATTTTGCACTACTGCATTTAGAGATTTAGAGCTTTGTCTTTTATTCACAGTTGAAGAACTTAGATTTCTGCAAAAGACCATTTAAGCACTTAATACTTTGCATCAGATAGGGAATTTAATTGGAAATTATTTAAAATTTAATATTTAATGAAAAAGAAAACTAAGAATATGAAATATTTAAAAATGTCCACCAGGACAATGTCCAGAAGCAGGACGGTATTGAACAATAGCTCGAATTATTAGTCTATTAGTTAACAAATATTTTTTCCTTAGTGATGCTAAGGTCCAGGTATTAATATTTTTTATAGAGCATTTTATTATAAATTAATTAATCATTTAAGTTAATTATAATATTACGACTATTTATAACAAATAATTTGGCATAGCAAATCTTGTTAATATATAATATATACAAGTCGCTATTATATCGCATATACTTAGCATCACTCTAACCGTAGATAAAGATAGATCTAGATTAGAATTACTCTGATCATAAGTAAAGAGATATTCCTTAAAATTTCTTAATTCTAAATACACAATACATAAGTCGATTTCCACACTTTTTTTTAATATTCGCTCCCAAAAAGGATGCGTTACTGTTGTGTGCTAAGGCACTACCAATGGGTTAGATGAAACATTTTATGTAAGAGTATTACATTTGTTATCAAGTATTTATTTTTATTTTATTATTTAGACAATCGCTGCTTCTAAATTGAAGTCTGATTTATCAGTTATTGGTATCTAAGTTGCACGACAAGGCAATATATGTATAATATGTATATTATATTACTTCTTGTGATATCTAGGAGCAGCTGTCAGCGTGGAGCCCATCTACCTTAAAAGCAATTTTTACTACTTTTTTTATATTATCAGATCATAGGATCCTAGTTATCTCAGTCCATGCATTTAGTTTATAGTTGATAAATTCATCTATGCTGCTAAATAATTTGTGTATGCATTACACGCCAACTTCCAGTCATCTTATCTTGACTTGTTAGAAACAGTTTTCCCATAAGTGGTATTATCTTTGCGTTATATATAACATTGTTTGCATTATTTTATATTTAAAATTTATTTTGTGAAAGCCATCAGTTAAAAATATTGCAAAATCAGAGAAATCCTATCAACGAAAAATGCTTACATCCTTTAAATAAAACTTATTTACAGAAGACATTTTACTGTTTCAACCTGTAAGAAGACTTAAAATTCGTAGCTCCAATCATATATTAAAAGGCATAAATATTTTATTTATTTATTAATGAAATATTTTTTTTTTATAAAAATAATAACTGTAAGTTGTTCTGCTGTCCGAAATATGTCACAATTCCTAGTGACGTTATGTTTTTGTATAACTACTAAACACTTAACGATACTCTATGTCAGAGCGCGAAAAATTCTATTACCCAAATAGTAAATTACTTATGGTAAATCCAATTAATAATTTATTTATAATTGTTATTTGACGCACAGATATTTGATACTCTTTTGAGAATATTAATATATTAATGAATGTTATTCACTTTTAAACTGCAGTCAAAGGCTCGTTTGTGTGGGATTAAAAAGTGAGTTAATGCAATCAAAAGATTATACCGCTATTACGTAGCTCCATGAGTAATAAGATAATAAAGTCATGATTTAATTTGATTTAATTACAAATTTAATTACACACGACAAAGTTCCATAATATTCGTGACACTCTTCGACAATGCAACATTTGAATTTCTCTCGAAATTGATGTAATGAATATTTTCAACAAATTTATGAAAAGATAAAAAAATTGTGTGCACAATAATAGTTGTACAAAAATCTTAAAGATTCTAGTGAAATACTGCCATTAAAACGCTTAAATACTTCACTGATATTGAAATATTTATTTTATTTGTTTTCCTGGGAACTCAGTTTTGCAATCTATTGTATAATGGAACCTGCACAAAATAAATGAAATTCTATTGAAACAAATCAATTGAGAGTGTGAGAGAAAACTTTGAATTTCATTCATTTTCATGGAAAAAGATGTATTTTATTTTTAATTTCTAAGAAAAAATCAAAAAAATAAAAAAAATAAAAATATGAATGTGTGATGATGTCATAGAATTTTCTTTGCGCTCATCTGTACTTTCAAGTATCTTACTAAATATTGTACTATATTAAACGTAGCCACGCAGTCTAGAAAGTATGTATTATGTATTTACATATAAGAAAAGTAATTTGTAATCATAGTTTATATTAATACTTATAAGAGCAATACTTAAAAATTGTATCTGTTATCGTTACAGGGTGGTTATCCAGCACGGCTGAAAAAAGTTTTAATTGTGACAGCGCCTTTATGGTTTAAAGCTCCTTTCAAAATTCTACGACTTTTCGTGCGTGAAAAACTCCGTGAACGTGTCTTTACTGTTTCTGTGCCCACGTTGAGTTTGCATATACCACGCAAGGCATTGCCTATTCATCTGGGCGGTACGCAAGATATAGATCACGCCACATGGTTGCTATATTGTCGCAAATCGATGACGAATCGTGAAGACGAACTACTTGCCAATATTGGGCAACCGGCAATAAATTGCAACAGTGTCAGTGACTTTTCTGGCGATATCATAACAATAAATAATCACATCACAATTGGTACACCGATAGTTGGTACAGAGCAAACAACGAATGGTGATTGCATACATTTAGGCACAGAGCTCAACGAAAATATAACAGTCAACGGTGTAAGCAATAGTGTTACATCACCCACATCACCTATCAATAATAAAAGCTCTTCAACAATCGCTACCGGCACAACGCTAGTTGCTTCTTCAGCACAATCAACTCCATTAACAAACGGTGTTTGTAGAGGTTCTTCGACAGGTTTAACAGAATTCTGGTCGGAGAACCCCCCCAGTAGTGCTTCTTCGGGTTTTAGTGATGACGACAGTCTGGCGGGGCAGGAAGGAGATCCAAAAACAATTGAACAAATTGTTCATTTGGTTAAAGAACGAGGACGCGATGGTCTATTTAGGGAATATGTAGAGATCAAAAGTCGAGCACCTG